GCCCTGGGTATCCCCAGCTTCGTGAAGCCGGACTCGGGCTGGAAGAAGCCGCGGCGCATCCAGCCCACTCCGTACCGCCTGGAGACCGAGGACAAGGTGGGCCCGGCCCCGTCCGCCGGGGCTAGCGTGTCCCCCCGGCCTCTGGAGCCTGCTCAGGGCTTAGCACAGCCGAGAAACTCGATCTGGTTTAAAGGCTTTGCTGTGATTCAGTGTTTTTTTATCGATATAGTGGTATCGCTTGGGATGATGACTGTTTTAACTGCAACAGCATATAGTTTAGAAAATATGTATTTGTAATTTTGTCAGAGGCATTAGAGAGCCAGGGTGTGAAGAGTATTTGCCAGATAAAATGGGCCTCTTCAGTGGCTGCTCCCACATGACAGGCGGGAAGCTTGTGTTGAAAATCATGTTATCCTTTTGCCTGCTCTGCTTTCGAGTGCAGAAGAAGTCAGAGCGTTCATAGAATATTTTGAGTTGGAAAGGACTCGGATCATGTGCAGGACAGCCCAGCAATCCGACCCTGCACCTGAGAGTTGTTGGAACTTTCCTTGGGCCATTCCCTGGGGAGCCTGTTCAGTGCTCGTCCACCCTCTGGGGGTAGAACCTCTTCCTGAAATCCAATCGAAAGCTCCCCTGGCACGGCTGCTCTCGGGTCCTGTCCCTGGGCAGAGGTCGGGGCTGCCTCTGCAGCCCCCAGTGAGATCTGACCTCAGGCTGCTTTTCTCCAGACTGAACACCAAGTGACCACAGATGCTCCTCATGTGCCTCTTATGCTGGACTTTTTTCCCCAAAAGGAGTAAAACATGTTATTCTCTTAATATCTCTGTATCTTTCTTTTTTTTAATTTTTAACTTTTTTTAAAATCTGCAGATGTAGGTCGGCAAACAAGTCTTTCTGTGGTGCTAAATGGGGCCAAGATAATGCAGAAATAAAGATGTATGCACACAAAACCAAAACTTTTAAGGCAGAATGGTTGGGCCAGAGTTTTCACCATTGTGCTTATCACAGAAGGCTGATAATTTTTCGAAGACCATACATGCCATGAATTGGGCTGCATGAGAATGAATGCTGATGAACAAGTAGCTTGGAGTAAAATTTGCTTTTCTAAGCCACAGTTTCTAACTGAATGGTGTGGGTTTTGTCTGTCTTCAAAGATCTCCTCTGCTGCCTGTGGCTATGGATTCACACTGCTGGCTTCCAATACCAGAGACATCACCAAAGTGTGGGGCATGGGGCTCAACAAGGATTCCCAGCTTGGATTCCAGAGGAGCAGAAGAGATCAAAGTAAGGATTTAAATGTGTTAAAGACTTGCAGGGTGACACTGCAGTCTCCCTGTGGTACAGGAATCTCCATGTGTTTGGGACTGTGAAAAACATCAGGAGGCTTGGATGCAGTCCCAGGCTGTGTTGTTGTTAAAGTTTTTATTTTTATTGAGAACCAGTAAAGCACTGCTGCCTGTGTGCAATATTGCCTTGGGCCCTCCAGGATTTGATTTCACTTATTACAGTAACTTTGGTATCAAGGCTTTTTATCTCCTCTTAACTTTTTCCTAGTATTGATTTGTGATTTGCTGTCATTTCCCCCCTCCCCCAGTTGACTGTAACTGATTCTGTCCATGTTCTTCAAGTTGCTAAATCTTTTTAAAGTACAGCATATCATTTTTCATAAACATTGGATGTCTTATTCCCTATAGACTTACCCTATCTAGTCTTTGTTGCATTCCTTATTTGTGAAAGTGCCTGTAATCTACTTTTCTTTAAGATTTTTTTTTGTTCACCTTTTCTGATACATTTTTGTGATTGTTGCTCCTGTACCTTGTTTGCAATATCCCCAGAGTGTTTGTGCATGGTATTAAACTCTGAAGTGGTTGAACATGTGGGTGAAAGCCTCAGTTTGACAATTCTGCCACCTGAAGCCTTAACAACATTCACTCTCTAGTTATGGTGGACTTTTGTTTAGGCAGTGATTATTGACTTCAGCTATTTCCATAGCTTTTACCTTCTTCCCTCTGTGATAAATCCCTGTCAGCCTCTTTGGTTAGTGTTAGTTTAGGCTTTCTAAAATGTATCTGCTTTTATAACAAAGCAAAACTGAGTGTGTGAATGTACAACAGGATCTGCAGATGTATGTTGAATTTACTGACATAAAATTGTTCTCTTTCCCTTAAGCTAAGGCCTATGAATATGTCTTGGAACCATCTCCAATTCCATTACCACTGGAGAAACCACAGCAAACTCGAGTCTTGCAGGTGTCCTGTGGGAGAGCCCATTCCCTGGTGCTGACAGACAGCGAAGGAGGTACAGTGTTGCTTGTGCTGGGGATGTCTATGGGTGCCTGGCTATGCTTTTACTAAAAGCTTGGAAAAAAAAATTTGTCTTCTGGCCTTTAGAGCTATATCCCAGGTGAGATGTTTGCACTGTAAGTGGGATGCAGGCAGCTGTTGGCCTTTGTGGGATTGCTTCTGTGAGGGAAAGCTGTGAGCTTCACTTAGCTCAAAATGTAAATGTTTTTACTGCAAGGTTTGTTTCTGTAGCCCCAGGCCTGGCTGAGTGCAGCTTGTTTGTCTTGTTCACTCTGATGTGTTTTTGAATGCAGATTTGGGTGACTGTGCCAGTGCTCCTGTGTAAGTTCCCCTTTAAGCCCCAGAGTGCTGTGTTAATAAAGGCAGTTAATTAATTAGTAGTCCTTTATAGAGAAGATCTCTGGGAACACTCTGGTGCAGTGGCTTCAGTGCTGCACCAAGTGATCCAGTGCAGCTTCTTAGTGGGTGAGCTGGTTGATTCATTGATTCCCACTCCTGTGGGATTGCTGCTCTGTTTCTGAGTGTCCTTGACAATGGCAGGATGGACTGGGAACTCCCCTCTGTGACAGACAGCAGGCTCCAGGTACTGCTCTGTGCCTGCAGCAATACTGCTGGGTGCTGCTGGTGAAAATTGATACAGTCACTTTCATTCAAATGGACTTTGAAAAAAGCTTACGGCAATATTTACATTGCTGTGCTCCACCTTCCAGACTTAGAACTGCCTGAAAATATTTTGAGACTTTCAGGGTATTGGGCAGTAATAAAACTGGTGTGTTTCATAATTGTTTTTCAGTTTTCACAATGGGAAACAATTCTTACGGACAGTGTGGCCGGAAAGTTGTTGAAGATGAAATTTACAGGTGAGAATTCAAAGATCCTGAACTTTCTTATTGTTGGAAACATAATTGCATAAAAACAACCCTGCAGAAAAGCCTGAAGGTGGAAAAGGTCTGGTAGTATAAACATGCCAAGATTAAGGAGTCTGAGAACAGGCATCATACAAACAGCCTGACTTTGAACCCATGCTGGGCACTCTGCTGACAACATTCACAAGAGACAAAAGAATGTCAGCATGGGACAGTTCTTGCAGGGCATAGTGGGACAACCCAGCCTTCATAAATTGCTTGAGGTAATTGGTGTTAGTAGTTGGGCTTTCTCCTTTAGCTGCTCAGTGTACAAGTGCTGTTCTGGAGGATGTTAGAAGTGCTGTTTAATTATGAAAGAGGCATCCTCTTGTTAAGTCTCTGCTGTAACTGCCTCTGAGTCAGTAATGCTTTTCCTTCATTGGGTTTTTTGTGGGTCTCACCAAAACATAGGCTCAAAGTACTCTGTAAGTGAATAGTGGGAATATGTTGAGTTTCTGATTCCTTAGTAGGACCAAAAATTGCTCTGTGATCCACAACACTTGGTCTGTAAAGTTTGAGAAAATAGCTGTAATTAGGTGGCTTTTGTTAGTCTTGAACTGGAAGTAAGTCATTGAATTGTTGATAATTCCTGTATTGTGAAAAAATGACAGAATTGTTGGTACCACACTGTGCTCTGGGCTATCTGGATTATCTCTAGCTAAGTGTAGTGTTTGTTTGGGTACTGCAGTATTATGTAGTGTCTGTGCTCATTCTAGACTAGGGACTGTCTTTGAGGGTTGCCCCTACCCCCAGCCACATGAGCTTATATTTAAAAAATGACAGTTCTTAATTTCTTAAATAAGAGAATGCAGAATTATGTTCCTTCTTTGTGCAGGTATTTTGCAGTGAAACTGCATGCAAACAAATTTCTGGAGTGGTAATAAAATGGCTTTCAGTAGAGGCAGGTTTACTTTTGTGTTTTTTTGCAGTCTTCTGAAATCCTCTGTGTTGCCTTTTCTCTTCTTGGTGGCTGTTTGGTGCCCAGTGGAAGCCATCTCATTCATCAGCTGAAGGAATTTGACAGCAGAGTTGTCCAGGTGAGAGGAGCTCAGTCCTGAAATGGATTGGGAGCAGCTGACCCAGGCTCAGAGGTGGCAGCCATTGGCTCAAAGCCCAGTTGAAACCAGTAACAAGTGGGGTACTGGGGGATCTGGGGTCCAGTCCTGTTTATGTTTTCACTGATGATCTGGATCACAGAGGGTTCCCTCAGCAGATAGCAGATGAATTAAACTCTGAGGAGTGGCTGATAAACCAGAGGGTGGTGCTGCCATCCAGAGGCTGGAGAAATAGGCCTGCATGAACCTCATCAAGTTCAGCAGTGGAAATGGCCAAGTGCTGTTGCTGGTGAAAAGCAATTTCAGACACCCCCATGGGCTAGGGGTGACTGTCTGGAGGTAGCTCTGTGGAAAAGGCCCAGGGTTCACCAGGCTGAGCATGACCCAGCTCTGTGCCTTGTGTAGAGAAGGCTAAGGATGCCCTGGGCTGCATTAGGAGTGTCACCTGCAGGTCAGGATAATTCTTCTTTTCTACTCAGCCACACTCAGAGTACTGTGTCTACTTCTGGGCTCTGCACTCCACTACTCTCTTCCTGTTGTGATTTCTTGTTCCCTTTTGTCACTTTTATATTGCTTAGGAGTTTAAATTTTGTCTTTGCCTTTTCAGAAATGAGCTGTGAAACCATCCTGTAATTAGGTTAACTAGCCAGCACTAGGTCAGGTTCCTAGGAGAGCAAGGCACTGCAGGGCAGCAGCAACACCTGCCATGGCTGCAGTGTTCCATGCACAGGAGCAGTTTGTTGGGATGTCTCTGCCACTGTGGCCATACAGGGACAGACATTGCTCCTGTTCCAAGGGAGGGTCATTCATTTACACCCACCTGATAGACTCTTCTGTGGTTCATCCTAAAACTGTTTTGAATTAGGCTTGTAAAACTTCTGTTTGGACTTTTCATGATTTTCTTTTTCAGGGAGGGTTGGTTACTTGGTACCTGTTTGTACTTTGATAACAGCAGTTATTGGTAGTCACTCTCTTAACTTGTTGATTAAATCTCTTTAATCTTTAATTTTTAATGTCTGCTTTTGAATGGCTTTTTCCTTGGCTTTAATTCATGCCAAGCCTGTGGCAGACATGAAGGCTGGTTCAGCATAAATACAGATTTGAGAACAGCTGTGTGCCTTGAGTGCTTACATGGCAAAGAATCCATAGCAGTTTGTAGCTGGCATCAAGAATGATGTGGTTGGCATCCTGTGAAGGGAGAGCTCTTATTTACTCTTTGCTGCTTTTATTGTGTTGTACTGCTGAATTGAGCTTTCTTTCCTTGTTTTGGATCTTAGAATAATTCAACTGCAGCATCACTTCCTATAAAGAAAATTCTGCTGTTTTCTGTGTTGTATCTTGTGGTTCTTGGCCTTCCCGTTCTCAAGAGCCATGTGATCAGGAGGAAAAGGTCAAAATCTGAGCTGATGGACATCACAGAGGTTCATTGCTCAATTTGTCTGTCAGTAATGCTTCACTAAATCAAGTCTGAACATGGAACCTTTCCTGACTGAGTTCTTGTTTGTGTGCAGGTTGTGTGTGGGCAGGACCACAGTCTGTTTAGAACCAAGAAAGGTTCAGTCTATGCATGTGGATGGGGAGCTGATGGACAAACAGGTAGGAACTCAGCTTAGCTTGCTTTTCAGGGAATTAATGTATATAGCAAGCTGTCCTAATTGAGAAGTTGTGATGTGTGTTTTTCATGTATGTGTGGACAGAAAGGGGCTGCTGATGTTTCCAGTTGTGTGTAGATGTTTTCAGTGCTCTGGTGTAACCAAACTGAGACAATCCAGTTCATTTTTTGAGGACCTTTAGGATGCTGCTCTGGTAATCCAAGCATGCAGTCAGAGGAGAGTGTATCAGCTGTTTAAACCTTCTGAGGGGATGTGGATGTGACTTGGGCAGCTTTGCTCTTCAGTTTTGGGGTAGCTTTGCCTTCCTGATTCTTGTTTTGGGGTCTGGTCTGCTCTTTTGAACGGACAAACACCTCGGTAGCTGTTGCATGATTTAGCATGGGATCCTTGGGCAGGCTCTTCTTGTGGTGGCTTTTGCTGCAGAGAACTTCCTCCTCACAGTCATTCCTACTGTTTGTTTTGCTTCTCCCAAAACTTTCCTCCCATGATTCTTTTGTGCCAGTATAATATAACCTGGCTGTCATCTACATTGTGGTCTCTTTTCCAGGCAGCAATTTGTCATGTAGAATGCTTCCCAGCCTCTTTTGCCATTTCCCCTGCTGTTGTCTAACTGATTGCAGTGTGCTGTCACCCATGGCTCTCCTTGCAGAAGACAGGATGTGTAACTTCATCCCTTTGGGATACCTGCCTGGTTTGGTTATTGCTCTTCAAACACTTTGGTCCATGCAGAGATCTGAGACTCTCCAGGGTGTGATTGCATGAAGTTGTTGTGTACTCCAGAGAGGTGGCTTTGGCCAGGGGAAGTGGTGTTTGTGGCTGCTTGCCTGTTGCAGCTGCTGGACAGTAAGCAGTATGGACAGAAAGGTTTATTTCAGAGGAAGGGTGATTTTGTTATAGCATGACAAAAATGGTCCTATGCAGGCATCAAAAGTGTGTCTGGAAGAAAATTCTTCATAATCTCTGCTTTTTTTCCTTTCAGGTCTTGGACACTATGACATCACCAGTGTTCCTACTAAGCTGCAGGGTGACATTGCTGGAGTAAACATCATCCAGGTGTCCTCCTATGGGGACTGTTGTCTGGCTGTTTCAGATGAAGGAGATGTCTTTGGCTGGGGAAATTCAGAATACTTGCAGTTGGCCTCTGTCACAGAAACCACACAGGTCAGTTGACCTGAGAGTATGTTTTTATGTGTTTCAGTTGAGCTGCTGGGCACAGAGTTAAAAATTACATGTTTCTCCCTATTCTGGATTCTTTTTACAGCAGATACAAACACCACTAGCAGGCTGTTTTTACATAAGCTTACAAAACCAACCTGTTTGACATGTTTGTGTAGCTTTAGGGGGCAGTATGTTTGGTAGGCAAAAGTTTGTCACCTCACCCCAGTTTGTTAGCCTAAGAACTCCATGTTTTTCTTTCTCCATCCCATGGACTTTGCACCAAATTGAGACCCAGCTCAAGTGCTTTTGCTAATTTCAGGACAGGAATTAGTTTTTTGGCTGGCTAATCTAGGATTTCAAGTCATACTGCTTTGAGCCTAATTCTGATCCAGATGGCCCTTGGAAGTCCCTTCCAGTCAACCTTGTATGCTGGTGAATTTTTCATGGACATCCTTAGTGATTTTTATAACTGAGTCATAAACAAATTAACAAATTCCAGTGTCTCACAGCTAAAAGGGTTTTTTGGAGCAAACTTGCATGGGGCATTGGCAGAGTGCTGTCTTCACAATGGGCATTGTATTACTGGGGTAATTAGGCTGTTGGTCTCATGTTACAGCTGCTTTAGGAAATGGAGTCAAGAAATTAATACTTAAGTTACTCTTGGTGGAAGGGTAAGAGCAGACAATTTTATTAGAACAGTTTTAGCAAAATTTTAGAAAACTTTTTTTCCTGTGCCTCTCCTGGTGTGACTTTAGAGCTAAATGCTGTGACCCATAAGGCCTGAGGACAGAATCAGATTATGCAGTGTAGCATTTTCCTAGCTGGGTGTGTGATGGAGGGCTGTGGCATCTGAAATGAATGAATGGCATATTTGCCAAAAATGAGAGTCTGAGCTAAAATATAAATGCAGTCCAAAGTGTAGAATGGCAGAGCTATAAAATTGAAGATTGCTCTTTACATGTCAAGCTGTGTATCTATGTTGTGTTGGACTGTACCAAATAAGTGTGATTTTCTTTAAGTAATTTTTCCCTAATATGTTAAAAATGCCACTGCAGACTTAATTTGAGTGATCTAATCCAGTGTGAAGGCTTGAAGACATGCTCACCTATTGACCTGCCCATTGTGTCTGACTTTAAAAGCCAGGGATAAGCAGCAGTTATTGGTCATTCTCAGCCTTGTTGCCATGCATGTAAACTTTCTAGTAGGGTAACTTTTCTCACCTTGTCCTCACCTTAATGAATTTAATGTAGATTGTTTTTATTTGAGGACTTGCACTCATTTTATAATTGAGGCAATAAAGGTTGTGTCAGGATCCAGTGTATGTAAGCTCTAACCAGAACTAGACAACAAGTTAAAATGTATGTCCAGTTTGTAGTTTACTGTGTCCGTGTTCACAGGGGTCTGAGGATGAGGGAAGAGATGAGGATCTGACTCCATGTTTCAGAAGGCTTGATTTATTATTTTATGATATATATTACATTAAAACTATACTAAAAGAATAGAAGAAAGGATTTCATCAGAAGGCTAGCTAAGGATAGAAAAAGAATGATAACAAAGGTTTGTGTCTTGGACTCTGTGTCCAAGCCAGCTGACTGTGATTGGCCATTAATTACAAACATCCAACATGAAGCAATTCCAGATGCACCTGTTGCATTCCACAGCAGCAGATAATCAATGTTTACATTTTGTTCCTGAGGCCTCTCAGCTTCTCATGGGGAAAAATCCTAAGGAAAGGATTTTTCATAAAAGATGTCTGTGACAGTTTGCCTTGTCTCTAACAACTCCTCTGCAATCTTGTACAGGTGAATGTTCCCAGGCATTTGCCATTCAAGATTGGGAAGGTGAAGGAGGCTGCCTGTGGAGGGACTGGCAACATTGTGCTAACAGGTGAATCTTCTGGAATCATTCACTCGGTGCGAGGCTGCGCTGGAGGTGGATTGTAACATTATGAAACAAGTATCTTGTTTTCTGGAAACAGGAAATACTGTATGTTGTGAGGAGAGCTGGGAGACTGAGAAACATGATTTAAGAATGTGTAGAGGAGTTGTTGAGTTGTTTTCACAGTGCAGAGCATTGCTCCAGTGTGTGCTGTTGTGAGTGCTCTGCAGGCTGGAGCAGGAGCATGGCAGCTGTCTGCTCCTCTGGTCTCTTGCTGGTCATACTGAGTATGGCCCATGATGAGTATGGGTATGGGGAGGAAGTAAGGCAGCACTTGAGAGAAAGTAGAGCCCTTCAGACTCCATATGAATCTGACATGTTTATATATAATGAACTAGGATGGAAAGAAGAGAGTTCTGAGAACAGTGAAACTGCAGCAGGTCCTTAGTGCCTGTTCTTTGGGCTGTCAGTGTCTGGGGAGCACAGCTGGGGGGTTGCTGCATGAAGGAATGAGGAGGGGATTGTATTGCTTTCTTGAATAATTATCTCCATGAAGATATTTGTATTTATAATGGAGGTTTTGTGATGACCAGAGCTTCTAATATCCAGGGACCAGAGCTAGCTGACATAGAAATTTACTCTTTTTTATGCTTGTTGCCTTTCCCAGGCACCCAGCTTAGGGCAGAATGCCAGGCAGAGTGACATCCAGTTGCTGGTTTGGGCATGTCTGTCAGTGCCCACAGCTTCACTGCCACTTGAAAAATCATCAGAGAAGAAAGCCATGATAATAAACTCTCAACCTCTGTCCCATCAGTCAGTAGGATTTTATCCAGCTCACTCTTGTGTTGGCATTATTTCCCCATAAAAGTTCTGCCTGGGGGGCTTGATTTGCTTGCATAGCTTAGGAAAAGATTGAGGGATTTGGATGGGCATTTTTTGCAGATTTTAAATAATCAAAAAGTGTTAGACTGAGTTGGAAGAAAGGAAAACATCTCTTTGGTTCTGATTAACTTTTGGTTGTGGCATGAATTTCACAAGCACAGACTTTCTAACAGAATTTGTTCTTATTGTAATGCAGAAGAAGGAAATGTTTTTGTCTGGGGATATGGAATTCTTGGGAAAGGACCAAACCTAACAGAGACAGCAGAGCCAGAGATGATCCCACCCAGCCTTTTTGGCTGCTCAGACTTCAGCCCAGACACTCGTGTTGCTCATGTTCGCTGTGGGCTCAGCCAGTTTGCAGCCCTTACAAGTAAGTTTCTCATCCTGCTCCCATGGAGAGGTCATGTTGCTGTGTTATTGGCAGAAGAGAAAAAAAGAAAAAAACAAAACAAAACAAAAACCCCAAACCAAAACAACAACAATAAAAAAAATCACAAAAAAAAACAACCAAAAAAACCCACCAAACCAAAACCCAAAACCAGAACAAATCCAAACAAAAAAACCCACAAAACCACACAGCCCAAAAAATGCACCCATATTTCTTGAAACTGAAGGCACACTGGAATGCAGTAGCAGGGAGCCAGACAGGTGTCAACATGGTTCCTGCATATGTTTTGTGCTAACTTATGCTTTAATTAAGAAAGTGTTATTTGTCTTTCCACAAAAAACTTTTCTCATACACAAAATCCAGAAGTTTTTTTTCATTTTCCTATATAGAATGAGTCAGTCTGCTGCACTTTAGCAGTTTAGAAAATTAATGTGACGAATGAACAAACTAAAACTGAGTCTAAATGAAGGTAAATATCAGAGTTTGTTGGCATTTCTGGCCAACTGAGTTAGCAGCCTGAGGTGGGCAGACCCAAGCATTTAATATGCAAAGGTTATGATCCTGTGCTCTGTGCACCCTGTGTGGGTTCCCAGCCTTTGAAGGGTTTGAAATTTGAAAGGCATTTAACATCAGGCAGCAGGAAAAATGCCAGGGCTGAGTCCTTGGGGACAAGCAGAATGTGTGACACAACAGTGTGACACTGTCAGGCTGGTGCAGGGTGCTTGTAAATGGCTCCCCTTGGTATTCAGAATTATTAGAATAGTGTTCTGATTAAATTGTTAATCATACATAAAAGTTATGTTATAGATTGTGTTTTGGTTGTTTCTGCTGAGGAGCTGATCCAAACACTTCTGAGATCTGTGTGTTTTCCTGAGGAGCTCAAAACTCTTCAACTCTGTTGAACACCAATTTTGGCCTTTCCCTGGCTGTCATCAGAAGGTCACTGCTTTAGACAGTCAAATAAGCAATCTCCAGGTGATGGCTTGGGACAGATCTCACTGCCTTGCTTACTGGATTTGCTCTGGTGGTAGCTGATACAGATCAGCTGCAGCTGTCTAACTTTAAACACAAATTATTCACTTCACAAAAGATTCCCTGGAATTTCTGCTGCTGCACTCTTCCTTCAAATAAAATTCCAAAGCAGGTGGTGTAAGAGGGGGAAGCAAAGACTTGTGCACAGAATTTGTTTCTTGTACTGCTCATTAGGCATCATTTTCTCCAAGCACAAGTACATTTATTGTACATTGAAGTAAATCTGGTAGCTGTCATACTGCCTGTATAACCCTGTATACTCCCAGAAACACTGTAGCCACATTTGCCAACATCACAAATAGAATTCTTCCTTTTTAATGACTGTTCTTTTCTAATTTTTTTTTCTCCTGTGTAGACAGAGGAGAACTCTTTGTGTGGGGGAAGAATCTAAGAGGGTGCCTGGGAACTGGAAGAATGGAAGACCAGTACTTCCCATGGAGGGTAAGGATGGTGGTATTAAGGCCAAGAGTATATTCCTTGGCTAGTTTGTTATCCTGAGGGCAAGGACCATCATTTGCTGTGTGGTTTTGAGTAATTCTGAAAAGAGTGGAAGGCTAAGATGACTGTAGGAGTGCTTTGTTTTCCAGAGGTCCTTGTGGAGCCTGGGAATGGAGATATTCAGTAAATGTTTTAGTCTGCTATGCCAGTAATGATTCTGAATCCTAAAACAGCATCTGGTGCTGTGCCACCACATCTGAACAGTTGTTATCTCCTTCCTGTCCACCATCATCTGCTTGCTACCCTTCCTGCCTCTTCCTTCCCCTTCTAACCTGCTCTTCTGTTTGTATGTGCTCCAAAGGAAACATCAGTATTGGCCATCTGTCCAAATCATTGCTCACCTAAATTAGGTGAACATTTTGGTCTGTAGTGGCTACAGGTCCACACAGTGGTGAGTTTCCTTCAGCTGTGTTCAGAGCTGTCTCACAGTGCTTCCAGTTGTACTGTTTCCTCCCAGCTGGCTCTGAGAGCCAGACTCAGTGGATGTGGAAGAGTCTTTGCTTCTGGAGTTCAGCCTAACAGCTGCTCCTGGTGTCCATGAAGGCCAAGCAGGAGGTGAGGGAGGCAATCAGTTGGACCACCCTGGAGTCCCTGTCTGTGTGTCTGAACTTGCAGTAAATGTGTTTCTGTAGTATATTTTCATCTTTGTTTAAAAATGAACAAAACCAGAGCAGCTCTGGAACATTTGCCTAAAATCACACTGCTGTGGCTGGGTGGAATTTCTGAATTCATTTCCCCAGATGTGGACATTGGGGGTTGTGCTGTTTCAGACAGCCAGCTCCTGTCTGACAGTACTGTGGCACTGTGCCAGGATCCTTGTCTGTCACCTCCTGCCCTAGAACTGGCTGCTGTCCTCTCTCTTGCCTCTGAGGAAAAACTTGCTCTTTTAGACTCTGCTTTCCTCAAGTTTGAAGTCAGTTTTAAGTGAATAAGCTTCAGGAGTGAGGAGCTGGTCTCAGCATCAAAGCACAAACTGCCTTAGGCTGAGTTGAGCCTTTGCCTTGTTCCAGCTCTTGCTGTTGAAAGAAGAGGCAAATCCCTGTGGTGCTTGGGCAGATCCTCTTCCTCATGTCTGGATTATGCTCTGTTCAGTCCTGCTGCTTCTGCTGCTGAGCAGATGGGCTGAGGCTCCAATCTCCCCTCTGTGCTGGTGAGCCTGCTCCTCTTTCTCCTTCCAAAGCTTTGTGTGATTCTGTGAAGGCAAGAGAGGAGTATTTCACAGCTTAGTGCACAAGCCTGCCTGGTGCTGAATCTTGCTCTTTCTGTGCTTTCTAGTTGGTACAAATCCCAGTGAAAGTAGCTGGCATGTTGAGTGGGAGGAGGATGAGAAATAGGAAATGCCAGGTGTGATAAATAACCCCCTGTGCTGTGTTTCACCCAGGTGACTGTCCCTGGTGAGGTGGTGGATGTGGCCTGTGGAGTTGATCACATGGTGAGCATGGTCAGGTCTTTCACCTAGGGCTGCTGCTGGCTCTCAGCACTGCTCCAGGGCCATGCAGGGGCTTGGTGACAGCCTTCTGGGAAAGAAAAACTCATTGTATGAAACCAAGAGACTGAGCAGAGACAGCCATAGCAGTGTCTGGGTGTGTTCTCATCCCTGCATCACTGGGATGCCCTGGCCTGGCTGCAGGAAGGAAGCACATTCCCTGAGGAGTGTGGGAATGCAAGGAGTGCTCTGGCTCCTTCCTGATGAGCTCCCAGAGGATCTGAGGCCCAGCCCAAGCTGGTGAGCCCTTCTGTGCCTGAAGATGAAGAGCATCTCCCTCAAGGAAGACTGGCATGGATGAAATCTGCAGCACAGGACATTGAACATGGACATTTCCTGTAACCAGCTCTGGAGTCAGCGTTGGGCAGAGCCAAACTATTTCTAAAGGGAAAAGTTGGGTGGTTTTTAATTACTATTATGTGGAAGAGTGATCATGCTAGGTCTTGAAGCCCAGCACAGCTGTCCTGGGTGGCCACCCTGAGCTGTGCTGTGCCCAGGCTGGTGCCCTGTGCAGAAATGATGCCCAGCCCCTGCCTGAGGCAGTGATGTGTCCCTGGGCTGTGGAAGGCTTTCTGTGTTAGTGCTAAAGACTGAACACCAGAGGAACACAGAGTGAGAACCTGTTTGCAGGGGTAAGTACTATCAAATAAGACAGCAGGCTCTCTGTGCTGCAGGAGGACAGATGGATGGTGACAGCAGCCAGTCCAGCTTATTGAGGGAGGCTGGAGACAAAGCCCTGCAAAATCAGTGCTCAGGATGGATGTGAGCAGTGCTCACTGCCCCTCAGGTACCTTTGTCTCCTTGTGCTGATCACACATCACTGCCTTTGATTTATTTTGGACTCCCTACACCCTTTCTGTTTTCAGAGCTCTGGCTCTCAGTTGCAATTAGCAGAGGATTTCAGGATGGCCTAGCAGGGGAAGGAGTCTTGATGGGTAAGAAGCAGAAATTCATCCCTTGGTGCCTTTGTAGCAGTGAGGTGATAGAGATTGGATACATCAGCTGTGTGTTACTGTAGCAGGCACCCATCTCACACCCATGTGTGGGAAACTCTCCTGTGAAACACTCCAGACATCAGGCAGAGTTGTGTCTTTTCTCTCTATGTGAGATATTTCTGGTGTGCAAACTATTTTGGTGGAATCCAAGCTAGTAGATTTTCAATAAAGTGATTATAAAATCTTTATCAGTAGTAATAGGAATTTTCTTGAGCATGATCTGCTCATGCATTGATTGAGTCTGCATTTGAACTGCAGCATTTTGGTTCAGTTATGTGACAGGAAACCACTTCTGTCAGCTGAGCCAGCTCCAAACCTGCAGGATTTATACTGTTGTAGTCAGGCATTGCACCCATGGCACACCACATATATTGGCTTCATTCGATGGAATTCTGTACCAAAACTTGGTGTGTAAACTTTACCTTGATTAAATAAGTTTTAAAGGGTTTGCATAAATTATAGGGAAGGTGAACCAAAGTACATGGAAATAGAGACACATCTCTTGAATTGTTGATGTTGCTGGGTGGGCGAGGCAGAACAGAAAGCTGCTGTGAAATGGCAAACCTTCACTACTCTGGACTCCATTTGGTTGGCTTTAATTTACACCTGATTCTGGGCAACTTGCAGTGCCCAGGCATGTCTTGTTGACCTCATGGGAGTAGGTTTGCCCTTTCAGCTTGAGGAGGCTTATCAAACCATGGAAAACATACAAAAACTGGTGAGAAAGATGTTACAAACAATTCCCTTCATGGACGTTGCTGTTGGGGTGGGCTGGTTGGTGCTGGGCTCTCAGCTGCTCTCATTCCCTGCTGTTTCCCAGTGCACCTTGGGGCTGGGCCTTCTGAAGAGCTGGGTTCAGTCCTGGTGCTGCGTTCTTGCTGTGCAATAAATTGCAAATTCTTTGTGTTAATGAGATGCCAGTGAGGTCTTCAGCCCTACATAGGAGCGTTGTATGGCTTAGTGCAGTGGGGGGGTTTGTGCCTTCTTTGTGGTGGTTGTGGCATTCTCAGCCATGTTGCTGGTGGGAACAAGGTTGGTGGCAGTGAGGGCAGTCTGGCAAACACCAGCACGTACCCACGTTTGCTTACAGTGTGGGGGGAGCATTTTGACCTTAACCAGGTGCCCCCAAACCTGCTCTGCCATCCCTCCCCCATCAGCAGGACAGGGAGAGAGAATCTGCAGGAAAAAATGGGTTAGAGCAAGGACAGGGGACCTGATACCATCATGGGCACAGCAGACTCATGGTGGGGAAATTATTTTATTGCCAATGAAGTAGAGCAGAGTAATGAGGAATTAGTGTGTCTGAATAGAAGTCCGACAGTGCATTTCCCACACATGTCCCTTCTTCCCAGGCTCAGCCCTGCTCCTGACTTTTCTCCTTCCTTCATCTCCTCTGCTGACCTTTGTATCTACATGGTTTCTGTCACAGACTCTTACTCCTTTCTTTTGGCTGCTGCTGTGCAGCAGTTTTTCCCCTTTGTAAAATACAGTTCTTTGAGAGCTGCTGATGGCTCAGTCTTAGCTCAGAAAATGAAAACACTTTCTCTGCCACACCCCCTTGCCTGTTGAAGGCAGATCCAACCTGAGTGCCTTTTGCTCCTCCTGCAGGGTCAGGCCCACACAGGAGCCCAGCTCTGCTGGGGTAACTTCAGGTCACTGCCATGGGGAACTGCACAGCAACTTTGCATCATTTTGTCCTTCAAAGTATAGCAAAGTAGGCAGCCCAAAATATACCAGCATCCCTAAATATACCTGCAGTGAGGGAGTGTCTGGGCCAAGGATGCACATGGGGAGCTGCTCAAATTAGAACTAGAATAACCTACTTGATTTGGCATTGATTGCACAAGTGATTTACCTCAGATCAGCACTGTGCTGGTGTGTTGGGCTTAAAATAGCCCAGAAGGGCTTCAGGATGTTCCCCTGGTGCAGAGCCCTGTGCAGGAACAGCTCCAAGCACTGCAGGGGCCCAGCAGGGCTGCCACAGTGGCTGAGGAGCTGCAGGAAGGATGGGGAGAGGTTCAGGCCCGGGTGCCCCTGCACCAACTCAGATTCAGGCCCAGGTGCCCCTGCACAGGCTCAGCCCCCACAGCCCCACCATCCCAAGGGGTCCTGGCAGTTCCTGCTGGAGAGCTGAGTGCAGCATTCCCCTGGGCTGCCCTGCTGGTCTCCTCTGTCAGCAGACTGAGGGATAAAACACATGAACACCTGTAAGGCAAAGATTATCTTAGGCACTTGCTATGTTACAACAGACTTTTCTCTACAGGATCCTTCAAAAACAGATGAGTCAGAGAACTGGTAATTAGCCTTTGGCATTCAAAATACTCCTGGAACAATATTGCTTCACTGTGCTTCATCATATATAACTCAGAAAAATCTGGTTTTGTAGTGTTTTTTGCAAGGGGCTGGCATCTGCCCCCATCTCCCTCCAGTGCCCCAGCACCTCCTGCTTAAAGGGGTGAGTCTGGGCAGGTGAGGCAAGAAAAACACTGATGGGAGAAGGCATCAGTGTCTTTGGGGTCTGGACACCAGTCCTCAGCCCTCTTATTTAAGATGCCATTTGCTTTTGTGGGGAGCTGCAGGCAGTGTTGAGGTTGTGGCAGTGTCTGTGTTGATTTATTTGGGTTTTTGTTTTACTGGATTAAACCCTTGAGGCAATGCTCTGCATTAAGGCTGCATTCCATATTAACAATCCCTCAGTTAATTTCTTACATGGATGTTTTAACACTTGATCACCAGAGTAAACAATGGATTGCACTACACTAAAAAGGAGATGCTTTTCTTGACTACAGTTTATGTGGATGAGCTGTTCCCCTTTAAACATCCACTATAAAAGGTTAAAGCTGTAATAGGGTGATGAGATGTCTGATTTCACTGTTTTTCTTGCTCATTTCACCCAGGTTGTTCAGCTTTTCCTTGCAGACTGTGTGACAGTGGTGCTGCTGGCTGAGACTCAGGACCCACAGTGGCTGCCCTGAAACAGTCCCTGAGGAGGCTGAGCTTGTTCCCTGCCAGTGCTGGGGTGCAGGGTCTGGGGGTGTCCTGCCAGGACCTCGGGGGGCTGCCCAGACTCCTGAGGTCCTGCACTCTGCAGTGAGCAGGTAAAACTTCATCTGGCAAATGCACCAGCAGCATCCCACTGACCTCTTATTTTAAAGGAAGAGCATAGGGCAGGTTTGGTGGTTTCCAGAAAACAGCAGGAGGATGGAGATGGTGGTGGTTCCATCTGTAGGGGTACAGTGCACCCAGAGACAGGACCTGGACACCAGAGAGCCCCAGGGGTGGCTGCTGCCTTCATAAACTGTGTGTGTGAGAGTGTGAGACCTACCCTTCATGGCTGGAGGTGGAAGAAATGAGAGTGACATCTCACAGACAATGCCAAGCTCTGCTTTATTTTCATCAGTTTGATCAGTACAAAAGCAGACAGCATAAGTTTTACTTTTTATTCTTTTTCGATTTAATTACTTTACAAAGTACAAAATATACTGTCATTTCTTTTGGAACATTAGGATTTTTTTCTTTTTTTCTGTTTTGTTTTATTTTTCATACAGTACATAAATCTCAGCTTTTCAGCATAAGACCAGCAAAGAAAAGCAGCATGTGCACTTGCTGGGAAAGCAAAGCAGCCACTTCTCAGCTCCACACAATGTCCAGTGCATGATCCCAAGCTGCTGCCACCACTCCCTGTGCCTGCTGGTGGAACATCCCCCCTTGTGCAGAGGGCATGGAGGCAGCTGATGCATTCAGGCTCCCCTGTCACCCCTTGTACCCCCAGGCTTGCAGGAACTGCCACCCACACTGGGCCCATGGCAGGTGCAAGCAGCCTTTCCATGGCTGCAGCCCAGAGCAGGAGCTGCACCAAAGGCTCCTCCATGTGCAGGATTCCCCCACCCTGTCTGTTTACATCAGATCTGGTAATTAAAGAGAAATAAATAGACTTTTTTTTTTCTACCCTCGCCAGTGAAAGGTTGCATGGGGTTTCTGTGAGGTGAGCAGGGAGGAGAGGCTGCAATAGTTTGGGGTTCCCAGCCCCACTTCAGCCTGTTTGGTGTGTGTCTGAGGCCAAAAGTGCTATTTCACTTACAGAGCAAATGATACATAAATAACTTATTAAATAAAAAAGTCCTCAAGATTTGTGTTTCCTCCCCAGGCTGGCCAGCACAGCTGTTCTAAGTGGTCAGGGATGAGAGACAGACCCTGATCCAAGCTAGGCAGCTTCTGCACCAGGAGCATCTCTGCTGTCTTGGCAGCCCTAGAAATTGGGGTTAGTGTTGTGTAGGTCTCTGGAGGGAATCTGGGCTCCTTTGGAGTCCTTACAAAGGGGAGAAGGAGATAAATGCTCACACTTGTTCAAGCCACTTAGGCACTAACAAGGTGGTGCTGTGCCAGCCCCTCATAACCAGCCCTGAACTGCAGCAGTGCTGGGGCTGTGACCCTCCCCTGTGTGACCCTGCTGGGCTGGGGGCTTGTGGAGCTGAGCCCAAAGGACCAAACCAAAAATCTGCCCTGAGCACTGAGGGGGAATGAGGCTCCTCCTCCCCCTGTGCAGTGCTCCCCCAGAACTCACCCTTGTGGCTGCCCAAACAGCAGGAGCCAACCTGGCAGTGCCAGGCTGTGCCAGGCTCACTGCTAGGGGGCTGCAGGTGCTCCCTGGGCACTGGGGCACCAAGACCCAAATCCCAGCAGCAGCAGGAGCTGCTGGGTGCTGGGAGCAGGTCAAGCAAATTGAGGTGATCACCCACCCTCTAATTCTAATGGAAACAAGGGGGGAACGGGTTATGTAAGGAGTTAACAGTAAGGGAACGAGACAGGCTCTTCCAAAGGCTGGAACAGAGTTTCTGAAGCTGCATCCTACTGTGAGTTACTGCCTGGCAGTCTCCTCTGCCTGTCCAAGAGCCATGGCTGTCCTGGTGCCTGGGTCAGCAGGAGAAGTGTCCCCTCTCTGTCACTGTGCAGGAGGATGCACTGGCAGAAACCGTGGCTGCCACTGTGCTAAAATGAACAGCCTGCTCCTCATGTCCCACACCCTTCATGTCCCACAAGCCCCAGAGTCAAGCCTGGAGCCCACACACAGGGGAGGGAGGGATAACAATGCCTGGCCACAGCCAGCAGGGACAGGGGACACAACGCTGCTGGCTGTGACACCATAGTCCTGGGCTGGAAAGAGGCACTGCCCTGTGCATTTCCAGGC